GGAAAGAGGAGATCGCACAAGAGCAATGTAAAACAAATGCCGACTAGTGCGACTGACTGTTCATCACAGGTAGTTTTGTAAAGAGAACTTTTTTTTCACCAAGTCACTAATAATATCTTTAAATATTCATGATTTCAATCCATGATATAAACCCACCTAATCTTTGCTCTGATTTATGTATTCAAAAAAGTTTAAGTGATGATGGACATTAATATTGAATACTTTGTAAGGTTCAATCTGCCCATGAATATATATCTGAATTAACAGACACACACCACAGGCACACAGTCTGTATCAGATATTTATTGATTTACAAGGTATTAAATGTGTTTTAGTTTACATAAAAATCTGATAGTGTTAAAAGAAGTGCCAAGTTTTGTTGAATTAAATAATCCATGCTTATCACTGTGGCTGAAATAACCTCACATTTTTCAACAACAAATTATAGATAAAGTTACACAAGAAATTAAATCTCGAAAATATTTATTAATTAAGGTGAATGAAAACATGTAAATATATAAAAGTTAGTCTGTAAATGCATGAGAAAACAATATACATGTATACACAACTTAAGTTTTATTTCATAACTTGATCTGTCCAAATCTTGAAATCCTATGTAATAAAGTTTTCTTACTTCCCTTTTTCTTCCAATACAAAAGAATAGTGACAGATATTATAGTCTATATCAAATTTAAATGATACTATCCAGTATCATTTACTTTTTATCGTTTGTATATGAAAAATTCCCGAGATTTGTTGAAATTTCAACAATTTGCGAAGGAGTAGATGCATCACATGTTACTGTAGAAAACAAGTTCAACAAATAGAAAAAGAGAATACATGATACATTGTACCTTAAGCAAGAACTTAAAATAAACATAAAATGTAAAAAAACAAAACATAAAGAGATTCAAAATTATCAGCCTTTTTAGATATCACATTGATACATGTATATGTATAAACATATCATTCTTTCTTACTTTAGTGTCACCATAAAGGTAATGCCACTAACAATATACATTGTACCATTTAGGATTTCAGTGCAATACTGACCTATGTAAAATCTTAACATACTGAATTTAATATAATGATTTGCCTTTCCTTCAAATTCAAAAATTGAGCTACCAACAGTATAGAGCTTGGTCAGACTATATAAATGTGCAACACTAAATTTAGCAGAGCACAGTTCAGCAAAGGCAAGCAGGCTGTCAAGCAGTTTACCAGTACATACTGCCTTTACTTTCACTTCTGTACATGCTTAAGCAGTGGTACAGCTAAAGGATTTCCTGATCAATTACATTGAAAGTGACCTGCATTATCTGGGAATCGATAAAATGAAAGTAGGATTAACACTAAAAAAATTCATATGTAAATGTTTATCACAGTATTTCCTGCAGATATAACAAGTTACATGCTTGTACTGGTAACAACAAATGGAACAAAAAATATATGAGAGTGCATAACACATTAATATGTACATATAAACTGGCAACAAGTGAACAATATTCAATATCTGGCAGCAGCTGTTATCATCCAATCTATGACACATCAATTGTTTCATCATAAATCATCATCCTAGCTTCTCTCCAGAAATTAATGAACCATGTCCAGTTGTTATCCTACAATTATACACATATAAATAAATTTACAACTTATTTTAAAATCTAAACAAGAGGGCCATGATGGCCCTGAGGTCGCTCACCTGTATATAGGCCCCCCACCCCCCCCCCCAACATTGCAGGGCCAATTTAACCAAAGGTCTTTTATTTGCACAATCTTGGTAGACACCCATAAGAAGATGTTTCATGCTAAACATCTAAGCTCTAGCTCATTGGGCTTTTTAAAAGAAGACTTTTTTAATGTTTTTACTATACACATATAGTTAAAACCAATGACACCCCTGGGGCAGGGCCAGTTTTGACCCCAGGGCTTTTATTGAACAAACTTTGTAGACACTTACTAGAAGATGTTTCATGCTTAATATCTAAACTCTAGCTATTTGGGTTTTTTCAAAGAAGATTTTAAGTTTTTGCTATACACATATAAAGAAAATCAATGACCCCCGGGGCGGGGCCAATTTTGACCCCAGGTCTTTTATTTGAACAAACTTTGTAGACACTCACTAAAAGATGTTTCATGCTTAATATCTTAACTCTAGCTATTTGGGTTTTTTCAAAGAAGATTTTTTAAGTTTTTGCTATACACATATAAGGAAAATCAATGACCCCAGGGGCGGTGCCAATTGTGACCCTAGGGCTTTTATTTGAAGAAACTTGGTAGACACCTATTAGAACATGTTTGATGCTAAATATCTTAGCCATAGCTCTTTGATTTCTTTAAAAGAAGATTTTTTAAGTTTTTACTATATGCATATAGGGAAAATCAATGACCCCCCGGGGCGGGGCCAATTTTGACCCCAGGGCTTTTATTTGAACAAACTTGGTAGACACTTATTAGAACATGTTTCATGCTAAATATCTTAGCTCTAACTCTTTTGGATTTTTAAAAGAAGATTTTTTAAGTTTTTACTATATGCATATAGGGAAAATCAATGACCCCCTGGGGCGGGGCCAATTTTGACCCCAGGGCTTTTATTTGAACAAACTTGGTAGACACCTATTAGAACATGTTTCATGCTCAATATCTTAGCCATAGCTCTTTGAGTTCTTTAAAAGAAGATTTTTTAAGTTTTTACTATATGCATATAGGGAAAATCAATGACCCCCTGGGGCGGGGCCAATTTTGACCCCAGGGCTTTTATTTGAACAAACTTGGTAGACACCCATTAGAACATGTTTCATGCTAAATATCTTAGCTCTAGCTCTTTGGGTTCTTTAAAAGAAGATTTTTTAAGTTTTTACTATATGCATATAGGGAAAATCAATGACCCCCGGGGCGAGGCCAATTTTGACCCCAGGGCTTTTATTTGAACAAACTTGGTAGACACTCACTAGAAGATGTTTCATGCCAAATATCTAAGCTCTACCTCTTATGGTTTTTGAAAAGAAGATATTTAAAGTTTTTTCTTTCGGTTGCCATGGCAACCAGAGTTCTGCATAGAATTAAATTCTTTGAACAATTTTTAAAGGTGACCACCAAAGGAACATTCCTGTGAAGTTTGGATGAAATTGGCCTTGTGGTTTATGAGGAGATGTCATTTAAAGTAAAAGTTTACGGACGGACGGACGCCAGACGGACGGACGCTGGACGAAAAGCAATCACAAAAGCTCACCCTGTCACTTTGTGACAGGTGAGCTAAAAATAAACAAAATATACCAGGAAGTTTATTTGTATTTCTTTGATATTTGAAATTTCAAATTCTTTTCCTGACAAGTGTGCGACAGACAGACAAACAAGGTGGCAACTTTATGCTTTCTCTTCAGGGAACATAAAAATATGATCGTTTTGGACCTTTTAAGGGTTCATAACTCTGTAATCAAGGTTATCAGACAGCTTTAGAAAATTATATGTATGATCAATTATAATCAAGTAAAATTAAACTGGTATGACACAGACAAGAAATTGCTGACACAAGTATGGTTAATGGATATCAGGTGACCACAGAAGCTCATCATGGCCACAACTTTAATAAATATGTTCATCATAAACTATACCAAACCAAGCAAATATTTACTCACATATTTTTAGCAGGTAAATCACTACGTCAAACTTTGTTCTATATGTTTCTTAATTCTGTCAATCTTTGCTTTATTGTCAACATAGCCATCTCCATTCTGAAATAAACAACAACAAATTTTGATGATAAACATGTCTTTACATTTATAAAAACAAGAGGGCCATGATGGCCCTAGATCGCTCACCTGACCCATCAAACTCATCCAAACAATTACCTAGACAAGCATTCTGACCAAGTCTCATGACAGGTGAGTCAAAAATGTGACCACTACAGTGTTAACAAGGATTATCCATATTTGAGCAGTGTGACCTAGTTTTTTACCCAGGTGACCCATATTCAAACTTGACCTCAAAATCATCAAAACAAACTTATCAGACCAATTTCCAGGATATTTGGATCAAAACAGTAGCAACTAGAGTGTTAACAAGATTTTTCTATTTTTAGCTCCGGTGACCTAGTTTCACATGCGATTTCGAACTCATCCGAGCAATTACCTAGACAAGCATCCTGACCAAGTTTGATGATAATTGAGTCGAAAATGTGACCACTAGAATGTTAACAAGGTTTTTCCATATTTGGGCGGTGTGACCTAGTTTTTCATCCAAGATGACCCATGTTCGAACTTGACTTAGAAATCATCAAAACAAACTTTCAGACCAATTTACAGGATATTTGGATCAAAACAGTAGCCACTAGAGTGTTAACAAGATTTTTCTATTTTTAGCTCCTGTGACCTAGTTTTTCATCCGAGATGACCCATGTTCGAACTCATCCGAGCTATCACCTAGACAAGCATCCTGACCAAGTTTGATGATGATTGAGGCAAAAATGTGACCTCTAGAGTGTTAACAAGGTTTTTCTATTTTTAGCTCTTGTGACCTAGTTTTTCATCCGAGATGACCCATGTTCAAACTCATCCGAGCTATCAACTAGATAAGCATCCTGACCAAGTTTGATGATGATTGAGGCAAAAATGTGACCGCTAGAGTGTTAACAAGGTTTTTCTATTTTTAGCTCCGGTGACCTAGTTTTTCATCTGAGATGACCCATGTTCGAACTCATCCGAGCTATCACCTAGACAAGCATCCTGACCAAGTTTGATGATGATTGAGGCAAAAATGTGACCGCTAGAGTGTTAACAAAGTTTTTCTATTTTTAGCTCCGGTGACCTCGTTTTTCATCCGAGATGACCCATGTTCGAACTCATGCGAGCTATCACCTAGACAAGCATCCTGACCAAGTTTGATGATGATTGGGGAAAAAATGTGACCGCTAGAATGTTAACAAGGTTTTTCTATTTTAAGCTCAGGTGACCTAGTTTTTCATCCAGGATTACCCATGTTCGAACTCATCCAAGCTATCACCTACACAAGCATCTTTACCAAGTTTGATGATGATTGATGCAAAAATGTGACCGCTAGAGTGTTAACAAGGTTTTTCTATTTTTAGCTCCAGTGACCTACTTTTTCATCCGAGATGACCCATGTTCGAACTCACCCAAGCTATCACCTAGATAAGCTTCCTGACAAAGTTTGATGATGATTGATGCAAAAATGTGACCGCTAGAGTGTTAACAAGGTTTTTCTATTTTTAGCTCCGGTGACCTACTTTTTCATCCGAGATGACCCATGTTCGAACTCATCCAAGCTATCACCTAGACAAACATTCTGACTAAGTTTGTTGATGATTGAGGGAAAGTTGTGACCTCTAGAGTGTTAACAAGGTTTTCTATTTTTAGCTCTTGTGACCTAGTTTTTCATCCGAGATGACCCATGTTCGAACTCATCCGAGCTATCAACTAGATAAGCATCATGACCAAGTTTGATGATGATTAAGGCAAAAATGTGACCGCTGGAGTGTTAACAAGGTTTTTCTATTTTTAGCTCCGGTGACCTACTTTTTCATCCGAGATGACCCATGTTCGAACTCATCCGAGCTATCACCTAGACAAACATCCTGACCAAGTTTGATGATGATTGAGGCAAAAATGTGACCTCTAGAGTGTTAACAAGGTTTTTCTATTTTTAGCTCTTGTGACCTAGTTTTTCATCCGAGATGACCCATGTTCGAACTCATCCGAGCTATCAACTAGATAAGCATCCTGACCAAGTTTGATGATGATTGAGGCAAAAATGCGACCGCTAGAGTGTTAACAACAAAATGTGAACGGACGACGGACGGACAACGGACAATCATCGATCCTAAAAGCTCACCCTGAGCATGCTCAGGTGAGCTAAAAATGCATTTTAACAAGTAGCATGTTGCTAGCTAAGAATTTTACCATTTGTGCTATCTGATCATTGTCTTAACTGTTCACTATTCAGTCAGTAAATATTTTGACATTTTCCCTAAAAAATAATGATTCTAATAAGAGTTGTCTGCAAGACAACACATGCAACTATTCACAGTGCTCGACAGTAAGACTCTGTAAAAAGGTTAACTCAAGAGTTATGGGACCTGTGTCCATCATGTTAGATAATCACATAGAATTAGTGTGTGAAGTTTCAAACCATTCCCCTATGTAGTTTTAGAAATACCAACTTGCACGCAAAAACTTAACCAGTGTGTGCCTACCCCAGCGCCAGGGTGAGTACAATAGCTCTTGTTATTTTTTATAAAAGATGAGCTAAAAATTGTCCATAACATTGCACAGTTTTTAATTCCAACTCATGATAGGTTTGTAAGTAAAATTGTTACAGAAATCCAGGTGGGTAAAGGTGAAAGATATACCTTTTTTGAGTGAACAGGTTTGCCATCAACAAGAACCTCAAACCAGCCAGTTACATTAGGAGTACCCTCACTTGTCTAAAATAATAAGAAGAAAATAATTTGAATATAAATGTAGTACATAATCAAGCTGAATGGGGTTGACTTTTAAAGCACACTGGAACTGTTGACAATAGTTATATGACACTTTTCATGCTTTACTGGCAGGGTGACTAGTGCCTGTCATAGTATAATTTTGAACAGGAGTATACATGCAAGAATGACCACCAACTTTCTATCAGCTAGCTGGATGAATATTTTGCATTACAAAGATTTTTTTCATCCTGGTTGATAATCAAACCTTTAGCTTTGAGAGACATACCAGACAACAAACGAGACAAAAGAATTGAAGTCAATGATCTGAGCCCACTTGTCACATAGACCAAAAATATATTGATAATTCAGTGTCCAAGCCTTATTAACAATTTTGCAACTAAGTAATTGTAATAACCATGCCTTGGTTTAGTTTCTGCCTAAATAAGACACAGAAAACATCTGATCAGAGTAAAGCATCTAGAAATCACAGGTGTTTTCATTTTTTAAGCATTCACTTACTCTCACAAATCATCCCTAATAAGAGAAAAGAAATTGACAGTAGTGTAAACTTTTACATGCTTGTCAGTATTACTATCTGAACATGATATAAATTTTATTTTACATAAAACAAAATAAATATTTATATTTTGAGATGAGACTCCCATAAAGAAAGATTCAGCTCTCTAAGACCAAAGTTTCATTTAGAAGATTAAATAATCTAAGCAACTGAATTTTACTTAGAGCTATAAATATTTGAGAAAATTTCGCTTGTCAAAATATCAAGACCAATAGTTCAAGATAAAATCAACTTATATCCTTTTGACTCAGAAGACATTTTCCTTTTAAAAAATTTTGTTATGAAAAATGAATTGAGTAAGGACTACAGGGGAGTACAACACACTGTAGCTTGGTCAATATTTATGCCTTCAACATACTGTAGTTCTTGTAAAGAAAAATTACATTGACCTATAGATTCATGCTTAAAATTGTTTTATTCTTTTTAATTGTTTTTAGGAACAAAAAAATCATAATATTTACAATGTCAAGTTTATCTGGAAACTCTTTCTTCAAATCATTAGCTAGCTTTCGGAACTGAAATAAACAAAAAGAGAAGACATATTAATCCAGATATAAATTTATGATTCATACAATTGTTATAGAGGTCTACTAGGCAATGCTATGTACCAAATATAGAAGCTCTGGGCATTATAAGAGTTAAACTACAAATTGTTGCTGCATGCCAAATATCTAATCTCTGAGCATTGTAGTTTCACACAATAATACTTTTAAATGTGTTTTCCTATTACATATAACTCAATGTTAATCAAGTGACCCAAGGATGGGCCAATATTGACATAAGGGGCATGATTAATATCTGTTTTGTAAAGGTCCACAAGGTAATGCTACCTGCTTTGTAATCTATGAGGCATTATAGTTTCACACAAGAAGACTTCAATGCTTTTTTTCTTTATAAGTCATATAAATTAAGTGAGCCAAGGGGGTGGGACAATATTGAACCAATGCGCATTATTAACACAAGTAGAGACCAAAAATGGCCAAATATCTAAACTATAGGCATTGCAGTCTCACAAAATAAGACTTAAATGTATTTTCCTATACAAGATTACATTAAATAAGTGACCCCCTATATATTTATCCAATGGGCATGACTATTACAGTTACATTGTGGTCCACAGTGATGTTACAAGCAAAATATTTAAGTTCTGGGCAAAGTAGTTTCACACAATATGTCACAAAGTTTTTTTACTATATAAGTCTATATAAATTCAGCGACCCCTGGCACGACAATATTGAACCCAGTGGCATGATTCATATCGGTTTTGTAAAAGTCAATTAGGCAATGATACATGCTAAATATGTAAGCTCAAGATGTCTTTTACATGACTGTGGTTTCACCCAATGAGATTTAAACGTGTTTTCCTTTAAATCAAGTAATCCCAAGGGCGGGGTCGATTTTGATCTCAGGAAGTCCAAGTCTGTGTTCTGCACCTTATCAAATTATATCTTATACTTCTCAGACTGTCAAATAGATTTAATTTCTGCCTAACTGTTCAAAAGAATAGAGTGGACATGAAATTTTAAAATTCATGCAAAATGTCTTTACTCTTTAGGAATGTCAATCCTGCGCTCTGTACATCATCATTATATTTTGGTTAAAATTTCTGACATTAAGTTTCCATTTCCTTCCATAAGTTTAAAAGACACAGTTGCTAACAGACATACGGACAGCCGACCAAGTGCATAAGGATATAACATATTGGAATTCTTTCTAGCTTAAGAATTGAAAAATACCGGTACATTCCAGATTTTATTTATAAAAATTTCCATTGGTCAGGAATTATTGATTATTTTTACATAGTTTAAACTAACATAATTATGGCAAAATGTCGTTATTTTGATTCTTACCACTGACCATTTACTTATATGTCACTAAACGCATTTCCATTGATATTTTTTATTCTATTTTAAACTTAAACATCTCTTTACATTAACTATTTTTAATCAAATTTTCTCCCTGTTAACAAAAAGTTTCAAAAAATGTAAATGTATATAACTTATTCATTTTTAACATGAAATTCTTCTTCCAAAAAATCTCTGGGTGTATATGCTAATTTGAAAGTAGGAAAAGATACAAACCAATGGACAAGTAAGATTTAGTGTTTTGGAATATGTCTTGTTATAAATAATGTCTTGTAAAAGACAGAAACAAATTGATAATATCTTACCTTGGAGGCATAACCTCATGCTCCTCTGAAAAAAAGAAAGCATAAAAATTAATAATGCAAATTAACATGTACTAACATTTTCATCAATCAAATTAGAAAATTTGTTTGGTAAACCCATGAAAGCACACACTTTATTGCTTTTTTGAATCATACCCTAAAGGCAGATGTGAGACTTCAATGCTGACAGAAGGGAAGCTGTTTGCAACACGACATACAACACAAAGTAGTACTTAAAACTAAATTAAATGTATAAATTATGGTGTAAAATTAATTTAGTCTGATGGTTACGCTGTTTGCATTTACTGAAGTGCAATACCACACTTAACTTTACACCCACAAATGTGGGCTCATAGCATATAAAATAGTTGACGACAATACTAAAAGGTTCCTTCAGTACAGTTTGCAAGTTTTTCAAAGCTTTATTAGATACTCAATCATTTGCATTTATTTTGTGCTTGTGAACATAAAATTAACAGTTTGAAGTTAATGAAATAGAACATTGAATGAAATAAGCACATTAATTTTTTTTTTTTGGATACTGCTTAATGTATTTAAATTAACAAGAAATCTGGTGCAAAGCAATACAAAAGTTTCGTGCAAAACGGCTTTAGCTAATTTTATATATGTATAATACATTAAAACTGTTTTGCACAACCCCTTGAATATTTAGAAAAGATAGTAGATATCTACTCTTTTATTTGATATCTGAAAATAAAATAACTCAGACGAAACATTTATATTAGCTGAAAGACTCTTAATTTATTGTGCGATAAAGAGTTCTGACATATTACTGAAAATCATTTTGAGCACTAAAACATACTTTTCTGTGTCTGTGTGTGGATGTCAAATTTTTGCATTTTTTAAGTGATTAGTAGTGCAAACCAACTGATGAAAGGTGTTTCAATATTTAGAGACATAGCACTTTTTCAAGTTTGATCATGTATCTGTTTAAGTTAACTTCAATTTCAAGCTGTTGTTGTTTACATGCAACGTACAATGTACAGAAGGCATAACAAGAGGAAAGGCAATAACCTGATTACAACAAATAGATGTATATTATATGATATCCACAGTGTGATTGTAATGTGACAGTCACACCTTGTCTTCAAATACCTAACATGTCATAGGAGTTTATATTCGCATCATACCAATTGTAGTCCTATAAATATGACGTCGCTTTGAGATATTTTTAATTCTGGGCAAAGCAACATGGGCTTGACTGACATAAACATGTCGACCATTATACATTATGTCATATGATTTTTACTGAGAGATATGCTGACTCAAAATACAATATACTAATACTTAATCATAGTGTTGTCCCGATTGTCTCTGAAAATCAATAACTAATCGGACCACCCCAAAATCGGCGACAATCGATAGTCCTTTTTAAAAACGATAATGTTTTATAATTCAAAAATTGCCTGTCACAAAGTTGTATTAGGTATTTGTGTTTTTTGTTTTGGATTCAAAGAGTACAACTTACTTTAATCTTTGAGACAAGAGTTTATTTATTCTCAAAATGTGGTCATTACTGTAGAAAAAAATACATACAAGGATTGGTACCTTAAGAAAAAACTCGATTATAATATCTGCAGACAATTATTTTGTGGTGGTCCGATTATCGATAGTGATTTTCGAGTTCAATACCCAACACTACTTAATTATCAATAAGGAAACCAACATACTATGCAATAATAGCTCCAACTATACGGCAATGCTGGGGATCCAATTTTGTATACACCCATTGACAGTCTCTATATGAACTACTTAAATAACCGAGGTATATGGAGGTATATGGAGCGAAAAAATAAGAGTTGTTTCCTTTATTTTCGAATAAAATCAATATTTCTAAATTAATGCTAAAACAATTCAAATTTACCTGTTTTTAAAACGCTAGTTTAGGGTGATTTAAAGTCTGATTTTGAAATTAATTACACCAATGAAAAGCTTGTGATCTTAACTTTGTTTCAAAACATATTTCAACACATTGTTTGACACTAATTTTGACTAAGGGTATTTAAATTTACTGTTCAACCTACAACAAGTCAGACCATTTTACATACATTTTATACAGAGAGATACGATCCTCGCAATTCTACTGATATGAATAGCCTGATGTCTGCTAGTGCTAGTTCAGAAACTGTCAATCGGTGAATGTGTTGCAAGATTTTGTAAATGGACTAAAACTGCTTTAATTTTGATGTTTATTTTGCCTGCAGGTTGCGTTGCTTATATTGATGTTGAAGTTTAAAATTGACCATCATCTTTGAGAATTTATAATTATCTTCTGATAGAAAAAAGGATTCATTGTAAATATTGGAAATGGACTAAAATACATGGTGATTTTGGTGGTAGGTGTGCAGATTTTTTCAGCGAACATTTTTATCTTGTGTATTATTGTAGACGTAGAAATTTAATTCTTTTTTCACAGTGACAGCCAATTATAAGTTTTTGTTGTTGTTTTTTTCATAAATATATTATATTGGTGTAAACATATTTATTTCAGCTTGATTGCGAAACAAGTTCTTGCAACTGATATTAATCACTTTCAAGTCCGCTTCCTGGAACAAACCAGTACTGGTGTCATAATTATGGAGAAACATGGTTGTGACCCAAGTAGCGCTCAAACCCATGATATATGGGTTGAGAGGCAGACACCTTAACCACTATGCCACTGCTCCCCTTTTGATATATATGATCAGTTATACTTGGATTGACAAATATACATTTTATTTGAATTTAAAAGGCGTCTGTGGCTACTGTGACTTCCAAAAATTCAATTTCATCCGAAATAAACAAATCCGAAATAGGGTCGCACTAAACTGCTGACGAATTAGCTGACGATATAGATATATAGGAAACTGCTGACCAGTTAAATAGTCAGTAAGTAAGTAACGACTTTATTTAATGAGGCTAACACATTTGGTTTCCCGATCTTCCATGCGGGCCTCAGCATTTACATAGCATATACATAACAATATATACATTACATATTTTAAATAACATATATACACAAATAGAAAACAAAAAAACAACAAAAATCAAACCCAAAAAAAACAAAACAAAAAAACAAAAACAAAAAAAACAAACAAACATCAAGAAACCACATTTTCATAATCTGGGCATGAAAAATACATTTTTTTACCAGTAAGATTAAAACAATATTGTAAAACCAAAACATTATACATTCTATTCTTGTGTGGCATTATCATTACAACAAAATGTACACTCATTTAATTAGAAACTTGCCACTTAATATATGTGTCTTGAAATTTCTTCAAAGTATCTGAATTTCAAATATAAATTGGGATGTCATTCCATATTTTAGGACCAGAATAGTCAAATGATTTCCTAAAGTACTCAGTTGTTGGTTTCGGTATGACTAGTTTCTCATTTTGAAATAAAGAAGGATTATCGGAAAATGCTGCCCAGTTACACAAAGAAGGGAAACATTGAAGTTGTGAAGTTATATAAACACGCCGTAGGGGGTAATAAAAAGATGGGAAATTACTTTTATTCTTTTAATTATATTTTTAATTTTTGCATATATATGACTATGTTTATAAACTAAATTAATATATACATTTAAAGTACCATAATATCATACATTTTAACATGGATTTACATTACTATATTCAATATAAAGCTGTGATTTTAAAAGGATATATTAAACAGCTTTTTATATCTCTAAAGATATGCAAAAATTTCAATTAATGTTTTATAAAGAATTATAATGTTATGAGTTTTATCAAATCTCTTGTTAGTGATATTTCAATAGAAAAATCTTGTAACGGAAAAAAATGTATTTTCAAAAGCAATAATTGCAATTTGAATTAATATTAAATTAGTCAACAGTGTTTTTACTTAATTAAATGTCGACATGATTTTATAAAATATATTAAATTTGCATACATTATAAAATGAGTAACAATTTCACGGCAAAATATATTTTTCCCTATATAGCTAACTGTCAGCAGATTCTAATATATGTTTAACTGGTCAGCATTTTCTCGCCTTAATCACTAATGTAAAGAGCGTTAAATTTGCTGACCATATAGAATAAGAAGAGTTTTACGGCTTAAATCAATTTGAATTAACATTAAATTGGTCATCAGTGTTTTAACTTCATTAAATGTCGACATGATTTCATAAAATATATTAAATTTGCATAATGAGTAACAATTTCGTGGCAAAATATATTTTTCTCTATATAGCTAACTTGTCAGCAGATTCTACAATATGGTCAGCATTTTAAAAACATATTTTGAACTGTTTATTGTATTTTGTCATAGATAAATCAAGAATGACACGTCACATGTGAAATCAATTTTTAATATGACCTTGGGGCATATCCATTTTGATAAATTATCAGTTTATTAAATGGATATCTGTAGAAACATGTTGTTTATAATGTAAACTAATAAAAGCTTATTAACTGAAACAATTAGCACATTTTTAATTTTTGTTCAATATTACTTAAACAATTATACGAACAACAAATAAGCAAACAGAAATCACTTTATTTCATATTTGCACTAAATACGACACAATAATGTATTTTGTTAAAATATATACATTACATATATGTACATGTATATATTTTAACCTATGATGCATAGTTTTATACTAGTTCTGGCTTCCAAAACTTTATAAGCCGCTATTTAACATTTTTGTTTTTCATCTGATGCGGCATTAAAGTTTTGGATTAGACCCGTTACGAAACCTAACCAGAATAACATAAGATGATACATTCTTGTTTTTCACTTACAAATACACTTGACCCAATCAATTCTTGTACATTTTACGATTAAACAATCATTTTAATATCGTTCTATACCAATTAAAGTATCAAAATATTAATACCGTCATTAAAATTGCCTATTTAACTGTAAAATATCAATTTACGCCGACTGTAGTCGGCCATGACATTCGTATGACGTCATTCGCGGGAACAGATTTGAATAGAGTCGTGTACTATATTAAGAACATTTTGTTGACATGATTTCGATATTTTTATTCAAGATAATGTTTTTATTTATTTTCATTAATTTTTTAGTACTTAAATACGATTGTATAGAATATAAAAGTCAGTAAATCACCTTTTTCAATTTCTTTAAAAAAAGTAATTTATAAAAATATTGGAGGCACATGGGTTCATAAAGGTCAATCGCGTAATCACGTGATCAAACATTTTGGCAATATGGCGGCCAAGTGCCGAAAATTTTACCTGTCGGGAACTATTAGGTAGTTTATGTTCGTAATAAGATTTTTATTTGTCCATCCTTGGCTTATCAACAGATTATATATAGTTTTATCAAGGATGCTTCACTTGACTTCATGGCATGTTCGATGAATAAATACGAGCGTGTCAGATTCCTGTCACGATTATTGGTGGACTTTCCCTACGGGGTTATCTTCAGCGTTCACGTCATGTCATAGTATATAAGCAGGTACGCTGAAGACCATAACCCTTTCCCACATATATACGCGAAACAACGCACTTTCGACCCCCCCTTTTTTAGGCCTCAAATAGTGAAAAAATGTCCCATTTGGGCCCCAAACACATGTTTTCGTTTGAGAAATGTTGCTCAAAATATTGAGCACTTTTTCGGCGCCCTCTTTGCCATGGTAACAGGAAATTTAAGACTGAGCATGTCGTCACAAAGACAATGGTCCAGTCCAGTGAACATTTGTGGCAAGTTTGATTAGTATTGAAGCATTTTTCATAGTTTCATAGCAGTTTGAACTTGTAAGAGGAGGCTTTTCAGTAAAAATGGCCATTTTTCACAATATGCTCATGGGGGAAAGTGTTAAGCTAAGTTTTATACATACTTGAAACAAATTATGATTTTTCGTACATCATATTTTGACTTCATTTTTTTAAATTTTAACCAATATATAACACATAGAAGAAAATTCATCAAGGTACTTAAATAGAATATTATATCAAAAGAAATAGAGAAATATACAGTATATTATATCAATTGAAATATTTATAATTAATATGTATCTGACATTTGTAATATCAGGCTCTTTCAAATATTGACATCTTGAAAAACATTTAATCAAGTATTTCTCGACCTCGCCTGTAATATCACCAACGGCAATTTGACACCTTCATTGTTTTCCCTTCTTTATCTAACTGGTCATCAGTTTTCGATAATCCTTCTTTGTTTAACTGGTCAGCAGTTTCCTATATATTCTATACCGTCAGCTAATTCGTCAGCAGTTTAGTATCGCCCTCCGAAATAAGTTAAAGTAAAATATTATGTAATTGAAATTAACGTTCTATGAATTAACAAAAGTTCAAACAATAAACTCACCAGTATACAACATGAACCTTTACAGTCATCCTCGTTACGTAACCAGCCTGACTATATTATCTTTTTATTCTATTCACCGTTTTAGTTGTTGTTGTTGTTGTTGTTGTTAGGCTATGTCTAAACTGATGCCTAATGCGAATAAAACTGGATTTATCCCAGTCGTTTAAAGCTAGATTGATAAAGATATTGCATCACATGCTTCTCATGTCAGCAATTATTTTCTAATTTATTGACAAATCAGCGTCGCTAACATATTTTTTCTCCATATATTGAAATTTTATTTACTGAAGCATAGGATGAATACGCACATGTAGACCTTAAATTTCTACACTATTTTACGGATCGTAATATTTATAAATCGGTGACTATCTAAAATATCTTTTGTTAACTTTAAATCAGCCTATCCAAAGATATATTGGTTTTTATTAATATTTTATTGTAAAAACGAATTTAATATTTTAATACAAAATAATTTGTTGTAGATCTTTATATATTATAAAAGATACGTCATGATAAAACTAGTTAATCTTATTATCTATAGCCTATGTCTCTGCTAAAGAACATGTCATTTCTTAGTTTAATCATATTTTAATATTGCTTTTACATTACATATACAAAACAGATAAATTGCCACATGCAAACAAACTACAAAACAGTAACGAATAAATTTACAGTTATTACATGGATGTTATAGTTATTAATAAAAAGCAAAAGGGTCGGCCACAAGTTTTAACAACATTAGGAAATTGGCCCATCCCACATCGCCTCAGTTGTAGTAAAAAGATGTGCATAAATTCTGTTGTAATTGAAATTCAATAAATGTATATATTAGCAATCAATATGATATCATTTGAGAAAACAGAATTTGATTATAAAAATTGTTCAAAAACTTACAAAAAAGAAAGAAAGAAAGATTATTGAATGAATGAAAGAATAAGCACCATGTAGAAGATTCCCGCCCAATTCCTGTCCCCAGCATTTATATATAAGTTATGAACAACGATTTAAAAGCGTTGTTTGAAAATTAGTCATTTTCTTACTTGATGTTACGTCTACAAATCCATTTAAACCAGTAATATATCCATGAAACATTGTTCCATTAGTAGCATATGTATTCTAATATTATCTGCTATTAAGTAGTGCATCCAAATTGGAAGCTGCTGTAGGTAGGTATTCATGCTTGTGATGTTAAGTTTATAAGAAATAATCAGTGCAGTGGATACATAGTCAGCAAATTATTGCAATCTTAATGGTAACAATCAAAGGACTACATGCTCTGTGGTATTTTCTGATATTTGCAATCTAAATCATACTGACTATGTGTATGTATTTTCCTGTATAAGTTTATTTTTATATACTATAATTCATCTTACGTAGCTACTGCGTTGAGATTTTTTTTACTATAACAGTTTGAGTTTGATACATATGGAATTTTGCATAAGTAAAGTTGCATCAAACAATCATTTATGTTCATTATTTTATGACAGTCACACTTTATCCTTGCATATTGTGGCTACTTCCTTAAAAAGACACTTAAAAAAAAAAAAAGTTGCATCGACTGGTATTTGAACCCCAGACCTCTCACACCTAAACGAGCGCGCTACCCCATGCACCAAGGTGAAGTAATACGTAGGTAGCCTGAATAAAAACAAATATATATTGTAATTCTAAATTGGGAATTTCCATTTCGTGTTTGTAATCCTTATTAATTTCGAGGTATTTTGTTCACGATAAAACTGTTGTTTAACACTGATGAAAATAATTTAGCAAAATTCTTCTCGCCAAAACAGCCCGACATGTATATTCCACTACTCGAAGATTTATTTGTGTACTACGCTCTGGAGTATTCGGTAATCGACATCGCTAAAAATAGCATTTTCATTGATCAAAATGATATTCATCCGCGTAATTTGTGATTATGCATTTATTGCCAATTCTATATTCTTTTAAACTTTGAATGCGTTGTAATTTGTTGGATACTTGTAACAAAATAAAAATATTTCTTTCTTTTACATCGCTAGTTTTAAGCTGTTCTGAAAACTATTTGTTGTTATGTTTGTCGTGAAAATTCTGTGTCAGCATTGAATTTTCTGATCTGCGATCAGAAAATACAAAAACAGATGAAATCGTTATAAGCAACGTGATAGTTGTCAGCAACGCGGTTATTACAACATTAACTGAGAATATGGCAGAAGACAAGGTTACAGAGATAATAGCACGTGGATAGAACATATAGCGATTTAAGTGACGGAGAACAAAACAGAACTGACGAAAATAAACAATGATGGAAAGATGAGAAGTTGTGATTTTATTCATTTTAGAAAAAAATAGATATAATAAATAGGTCTGACAGAAGTTGTATGAATCTGAAAATCGGGTTTTGAAATCCGCAGTTGGTAATTCTTGAAAATTCTACTTCTAGTAAAGCTTAAGATTTATATATTGTTAGGTACATATTCATATTTACAAATAGTAAACAATCTTTAAATACATCATATTATCTTTGCTTCAAAACAGTCAACTTTCATTACATCTTGCTGCAAAAACTGGTTCAGAAAGAGTTTGTGTTTTAGGTACATTGATATTTTTTTTATTTGAAATACATTGTTTCAATGTCATATAAAATTATTTTCAGGATTTCTTTATAATGATAAATAACTGATGTTCTAATCTTTGTGTTATAAATTTGCTACGACAAGGTTCTAGAAATAATGTTTACCCGGAGAAATCGTTTGCTTGGTAACATAATTTACGAATTCTAACATGTAGGCACATGTATTTGTTATTTGTGGCAGCTTTAATTTTCAATCGTCGCATCCTAGAAACGCCTGACTGTATTGATGGTGAAACGTAGCTGATCTTGATAAAAATCTTTACAATTAATATTTTATAAATGTTTTTAACTGAAAGTAATTGCTGTGTCTTGAATAGACATAATCCTGTATTAAATGACTTGACATTTCTCTCTACTCAGAGAAAGTCAGCGATAAAATACATTACAATTCCATATAAGTCTTTGCACTTATTCAAAGCATTAAAATGTGTGAAACTTTCAGAAGTAAATGTTGATAGTTGCAAATTGGACTTTAATCCAGTATAGTGCATAATTTTCCCCAATTATTTTATTTATGATGACAGAAATGTTTGTAACAGTAAAATAGAATATAACGGAATCCATGAAGAACGCTGAAACGGCAAATTTAAAAATGATCTAACTTTATTTTTTTTCCCAGCAGATGAATATTAATATGAGCTCAACAGATACATACGAGGGAGGATCCAAAAATTCGTGGACACCCTGCATAAAACAAAAAGTAATAAAGCAAATCTGGGGGATGACTGAGTTCTTCTGCTCCAAGCTGGATTTGAATGGTCAGCTGTGTGTCCCGGGCACGGTGAGCAGGTGCATTGCCTTGGTGAAGAATAAAATTTTTGGTAGATTCGGGTCACTTTTTTCTCAATGTGTGCATCAAATCTTGGCAATTAACCTGTGGACAAAATGAAGATAATCAAGTTGTCTTATATTGTAATGCTACAATCATTTATAAAACATTATGTAATCATTTATTTTATTCATTTATGTTTTTATTTATTAGTAAAATAGTTATTCTGTTGATTCAAAAAAAAAACTATTACGCTACCTTGGCGTAGTAGGCTGCATTGACTGTCTGTCCAGCTGGGACGGCATGACTGAGGTGTCATAAAACACAATAAACATGTGTTTAGTTGCTGATCGGGATACACATACCTTCTTCGGTGGAGGCAATGATTTGTTTTTCCATTGCATAGATTATTGTTTTGATTCAGAATCAAAGAAAAATAGCCATGTCTCGTCAACAGTGACAATGCGATCTAAAACTGTTGACCCTCTTTCTGAAAACGTTGCAAGAAGTTTTTTGACGCCTTGGTAGGACGTCACGTTATGGAGATACACACATTGTCCACGGATTTTTCTATCTATCATTAAATATTTCATATTAAAGTAGATAAAAAGAGAAACATTGATCGTTTAGAATATGTAAAAGTGTCAAAATATGAATGATAATGTAAACAATTTCCAATCAATTTTTATTTGGTTAACGGAAATAGAAAATAATTTACCATGTGAAAATGAGATGATTAAATATTCTGCTTCTAATAAATGAAAATATGGTCGAATTAAAACTTTTTCTGGAATGACATGATATGAGGCAGAAAAACAGTAAGGTAAACATCGAACTGGTTCATTGAAAACTAGATTAAAACAAAACTTTCCCGCCAAACGAAATTTTTTTATTCTAAAGGCCAGTATTGTAGCAGAGCGTAATTATTTGGCTTTATTTGAAAAAGAGAAGATGGTTTGAAAAAATACCTGATTCACCTGATTTTTGAAAAAGAAAATAAGTGAATTTATTTTGGCATAATATATAACAGATACATGTATAACGGTATTCCAAATGAAATTGAAGATGAACATGTGTTTTCACAATTTAATTGATAATAATAATAATAATAATAATAATAATAATAATAATAATAATAATAATAAAAAAAAAATAATAATAATAAAACATAAAATGTTCTGTCAAACGGATTCATGTTGCCGGAATATGATTAAAAATTGTTTAAATCAGCGCATAAACTAAACTAAACAAGAAAAACAAATCATACACTCCATACATTGATCATAGAGGGAAACAAGTTTGTTAAAATGAGCAAAAAATATTTATCTTTTATATCGCTTCAAGTTTATTGTAACATAGTATCATGTCGCCTCAAGCATAGCTTTTCATATTAATATTTTGTACGATATCACCTCTTGTATCGCTTTTTTGATTTTGTTTCACAACTTATAAGTTTCTTAAGTGTCTATGTATTTTGCTAGGAAATATATATATATGAATTGATAATTATAATGTTTGGCTTACAGTTTAACTATAGAGGAATGCCGTTTTAGAAATATATACCAGTAAGATAGAAATATAGACACATTAATGTCATTGGTAATGTTTGAGAAATACCATCATTCATTATTAGTATAACCAATCGGTGAGGTATTTCGAAATAAGAGTTTAATACATTGAAGAATCCGGTTCAGTAATTCAGAAATCATCTACTGTGAAGTTACATTAGATTTTAAGTAATGGGAGGGAACTCAGGGTAT